CTGGTGTAGTTAAAAGGGTACAAGCCCCTGATAGGAACGTGGATACATTGGAATAAAGCTGCTCAGAAAAGGTCTAACTTATTTCTATATGGGAGAGATGAAACGTGCCAGTGCGAGCCCCGTCTGTACTGGTACAAGCACATCCACGCTAGTACCAACCCGGAAGGCCGTCTCTCTTCACCTTCCCCCTTTGCCTCTTACAGCATTGCTCAGAAGAGCAGTGAAATGCAGCCACCTTTGGGGGGGAAAGCAGCCACTGCTTAATACAAGTTTAGGACGGGAAGAGAGGAGCATCGTCTCCAAATGGAAATCTAGAGGGATTCTGGGTGGGCCAAATAGGGAGGCCGACAAAGGAATAACTCCCTCCATGGCAGGGGTCTCCCAGTCCAGTTCTGCAGCTTGGGTCAGGCAGGACATCAGAGGGGTGGACAACACTAGTATTTCGGTGGCCTTCAGTGGGACTGAAAATCAATGGGGGTTTCCCTTTGAGTGTCATGGGGCCAGGATAGAGCCTCTAGGGCAGGACGTCAGATTTAAACTGTCCTTATGAAGCAGACGAGAGGGTTTCTGCTTCAGTACAGGTCTCAGTTTTACCCCTTGGGCAATGGGTGAAATTGAGGCAGCCTTATGGTGGGATTTTCCTTGTTCTATCTGGCCAGAGAGAGCAGTGGCACGAGAAACGAAAGGCTCTTCATGAACATAACTCCCTGGCACATGCGTCTTTCCTGCATGTGTACACACATATCCACCTACACACTGGTCCTTTTACAAGGAGGAAGCACCTTTGAGCGCCTGAAACCAGAGCTACCACTCTCGCCTTTGTGCGAGTTCATTTGCACCTACACAGACCCTCACACAGAGCTCAGAGACACTGCACCAAATAAGAAATTCCTGCTCAGAGGAGCACTGACTCCTCTGCAAAATCGGAAACACCATAACCTGAAGGAAATATGACAGCATCCTGCTTCCCAAAAAACAACTTTGGGGTAAAGAGACTATTCCAACTTTTCTCTGTGCCTAACCTGAATATACAATGAATTGTTCCAAACAGGAGATTTGACCACCTTCGACTCTCCTATGAAATATGAACTTTCATTTCTACCCAGGAGAACTTCTACAAACTTTCCGCCGATGCCTGATGAAGGGTGTTTGTGCCCGAAAGCTTGCAATTAAAGTTTGTTTTTTTTTTGCAAAAATCGAGTTGGTCTAATAGAAGATATCACCTCTAGCATCCATCCTGATTGCTTTTTACACAATTGCCGTCTTTACACAATCGGACAGTTTCAAGGCAGGTGCATGTAAACTCCCTCGAGTGCTTTCATGGCTCCCTGCTGTGGTTTGAGCAGCCGGGCTGTGAATAGCAGGCCGGTGAGAAAGCAGTCGCGGAAGCAGCCTGCGCTGCCAAAAGCATCCCTCAGCCTCCTGCCTTCCCTCTGGAAGAGCCTGGCTGCACGTGACAAAGCCACTGCTTGGAAAAGCTTTCCTTGCCCTCTGGGAACAGCCAGCACCTGACAGCTGATCAGCCACAAAGGCCGGGGGGATCATTTGCACAGCTCCCCCGGCCCCCCAGCACATTCTGCTCTGAGTTGCCGTGCAGCCGGTCTACAGGGACTGCACGGACACCCTGGGGTATCCGATAGCCCAGCAATGTCCCTCCACTTCTGCGCATAGTGCATTTCTCATTCAACCCGGTTGAGACAATAGCTCAGGGTTGGTGGCATACACGTGGGTTCACACCTCTTGGGGTTGAGACAAAATCCAGGGGTACACTGGAGCACTAGAAAAGGTGGCAATGCTTCCTGGTAGGCAGATACAGCCAGCCAAGCAGAGATCTTCCTGCACAGACCAGAAGAGCCTGATGTAGTTGCAGACACCAATGTGGGAAGTGGACAGAGGCATCTTAGCACAGACTAAAATGCCTCATGACAATGAATGGAGAGCTCGACATCTCCTGGACAACACGGCAGCCATCTCTGGAGGCCTCTCACTGCTGCCCGTGAAAGTGAATGGGAGCGTGGTTTTGCAGGGCAAAGTACAACGAATATCTAGGGGCTGAACCTCCCACCGAAAGCACAGGACATACCCCATGTCTACACAGGCCAAGCAGCTCTGTGCTAGGCGAAGGTAGCTTGGCAAAAGCCCAGGATAAGCTGGAGTTGTTTTAGCAGCAAATTCATCGAGCCCCTAGCATCGTGCAACCTAAACAGACGTGCCCAGAGGGTCAGAATTTGGCCATTTTCAGTTAAATGATCACGTATATAATATATTCCCCCCCATCACAGAGTACGAAACGCAATAATCTTCTCAGATAGAGACTCCCATTACCAAAAGCTCCTTCTTGCCTGCTTCTGAAGGGTTAAACCCTCTCTTTTAGGCTCTTCCAGGGAGATCTGAGCTGGCCCAGAGTTCAGCCGAGCTCTGTGGTCCCTACTGCCGCTAGGACAAGGCTGCTCTCAAGGCCAGGGAAGCAGAAAGCCCACAGAGACACCATTTTCTGGCTTGACTAAAAAAACAAGCAGCTGCCGAGGTCTGTGCAGAGCTGACCTGGAAGCATGTGAGTCTGAAAAGCTGCGCAGGGATTTGGCTGCACCATTTCTGGGAGCAGATGGCTCCAGGGACGTGGGTAGGACATGGGTTACGGCTCGTGCCTAGGCTGGCCATCCTCTGAGGTGGTCCCGTGCTGATGGCTATTGGGAAGCCTCCATGTAGGGCTTCAGCTGAGCATCAGCACCGGGGTGTGAGTGTTGGCTGGGGCTGCGGGGAGGTCTGGGCGGATCATGGCAGTCACCTGCTCTTAGCAATAGGAGCACTATTTCCAGGACAGGGTTGAACACATTGGTTGGGATTAAATACAGGACATCATTCTCCAGGGCTGTCAGCCTGGCAGTAACCCTGAAATGAGGTTTGCAAAAAGCCCCCACCACTATACAACTCGGTGGCCTCATCTACTCATAGAAAACCTTGTACTGATTTGTCTCAACCTAAATCATGAAAGCCCCTTATCCTCTTCCATGCAGATGTAATCAAGCCAATACAGGGGGGCCTTGCACTGGTATAACTTACTGCCACAGTCACTGATACTGTTATATGACCCTTCGCACTAGCAGAGCTGCCACCGCTCTAGGGGTTGTGCTAATTTAACCCTTTGCCTTGCGTCCAAGTTGCACATATAATCTTGGACACGTCATTGAGGGTAGGGATCGACAGACATGTTACTCTGGGGCAAAGGGGGATGGGGATGTATTAGGTATCAGATGCTCAATGGAAACTGCTTGTGTGCATGCCCTTACACTGCAGTGCATGGGAGCTAAACTACTGTAGCTTAGGTCTCAATTAAAGTGAGATTAGTTACCTTGATTTACCTTCCAGTTGTCCCTGGGTAAGATCGTACGCATGGGTAATTAGTAAGGAGCAGCTGACACACAAGAAAGCCCTGTCCTCTTTTGCGTCACGGTAAGATGTTCCTATATCCATCCCCTTGATTTCTCTGTGCCTCAGCTCTCCATCGGAAAATAGGTTTGGCTTAACTCATCTATTTACACAGGCAGACAAGGCTCTTTGGGTAAATCTGAGATCTTTTATTAGACCAACTCAAATAGTTGGAAAAACTTTTCCAGGCAGGACTGGCCTTACTCTTTGCCTGGCACATAGGGACTCTGCTCATCCTGAGCAGAAATGAGAATCAGGTGATTTCAAACAGCACGTTATTGCATTGCAAATAGAAACGCTTTACACGAACAGCCAGGCTTCCTCCCCTTCCAATTATACCGAGGGTGAAGGAGACGAAAATAAACAGCTCTGTGTGTGGCCTGGGAAGGATGTGCTTGGAAGACATGCCATTTTTCCACCTCGGGGTCAAATTTGGCGAAAGCCATCTGCTAAGGGACCGTTTAACCCAAAAGAAGATGGCTTGTAACATCCTGACCTTCTGTCACGCTTGCCTCGGGGAGCAGAGATCATGCCAGGAACTGCAGACAGGGGGAAAAAAAATCTGTGGATCGTGTTCTCCAACAGAATTTCTGTACCAAATTACATGACATCAACAGGGACACAAAAATATCGTGGGGACCTCAGGTGGTAGCAGGGGCTGGTTCCTTAGGCACAACGACTGCAAACATCTCTCGCAGCTGAGACATGGCAGGGACGTTGCGTGGGGCAAGGATAGGCTGTACTATTATCCATTGGTACTAGGAGACCTGTCTTGGTGTGGTAAGTTGAAGGGTCTGCTACTGCTAAACTGAGGTCCGGCTGAACCTTCTTCCAAGTGCCCAGGGTTTATATCTAGCTTTCAGCCCAAGGCAGAGAAAGAAGTCTCGACAAACTATCTTGGCATCAAATATGCTTAAAATGTGCCAAAGGGGGTGTGCTTAAATACCACCCCTCCCAACAATAGATGGGTAGGGGAACCTGAAATTATTGTGTTCAGCTTCACTCTGGGTTTTGGATCCTGGCACTGGGGGGGGGGAGCAAACAGGATCTCCAAAGGGCTAAAAATGCCCAAACCAAACAGCATCCCTGGAGCTGAGGCAGGAGCGGCCAACGGGACGGTGGACCAGTGGCGACCTTAGAGGAGGGCAAACCGGGTGACTGCCACTCTTTAGGGGGCCCCAAAATGTTGCAACAAATGTCCAACTTGCTTATAGGTCATCAAAATTAAGGGGCCTCAAATGACACTCTTGCCCAGGGCCCCATCAACCCTAAGGCCACCACTGGGTGGACCTGAAGGTACCCTTCTTTGATGGGAGGGTAGCTGAGCCCACGGCGGGAAGATTTGTGGAAGAATCAATAGACCTCAGCTGGGAAAGGACAGAGGGAGAGAAGAGCACCGCTGAGGAAATACAAACCCTTTGTGAGCTTAGGAGCTTCCTTGTTCCTTGCAAAGAGTTGGGTTGGGAAGTGAATTGCTTGCACAAATCCACGTGCAGCCAAGAGCTGCAGGGAAAGAGCATTTATGCAGGGCCTATCCAGACTGATCTGTCCCTTGTCCCTGCAGCTTCCAGCCTTCAGAGGCCTCGAAATCCTCATTTGGAGGTTGCACCCCTTCCTTCCAGTTATGCTTCCTATGCGCTGATAGGCCTCTCTTGCAATCCAGTGGCCGGCTTACTAAGAGATAACAACTTACTCCTCATGCCAGGGAATGACATTACTCCTCCAACTCAAGTGGTAGAGGTCTAGAGGCCTAGATCAAGCACAGCTGACACAGCCCTGGGGAGGAAATCATCACTCAAATCCATTCCCCCTATTAGTCACCAGGATTTGTGCAAAGCACACTGCCACGCCATGCACAGTAGGCAATGGCGCTGACTATAAGGAGACTGAATGTGCTGCCAGCATCCCAGCACTGGGCTCAATCCTTTTAGCTGGTGGACTGATGATGAAGCCAAGAGCCTCCAGTGGTAAATGTGTGTGCAGACACAGCTTGAGCTAAAGAACGAGGCCCCATAGCTTGAGCGTCGTGACACAGACCACCCCGAACCTGCCCGGAGGGGCCCAGGAACACATGCTCCACATTGGCTTACACAGAGCCTTTGGTTCACCAGGGGATTTAGGTACCTCAGTGCCTCTGTAGTCTCCCAAATCTGGTGGCATTCACAAAACCCCTGCTCCACGGCTGTATAGCATGTGAACTCCCACAATTTCTCCTAATAAAATCCCCTCCGCGCCTGTGTTTCTGCTTCTGGCCATGCACACAACCACCTGAGCACGGACAGCGTCACGCAGCAAGAGGTCTAGTGTAAGATTAAGCACCAACAGGACTTACAGACACAGGCTCCTTCACCTTTCACTCCTCTGGGGCCAATCCAGCAGGCACGCTCTGACCCGACGCTACGGGTGGGAGGACGCTGGGTGCTCCCCCCCACCCGCTTTTACTCAATAGACCAGCACTGTCCTGGGATATGGAAAGCTTAGGCTCAAACCCCTCTTCTGCAGAGACCTGAACCTGCACCTCCCGCTTAAACTGTTTCTCCCACCCCTCGGCTGTCTCGTCCATTTGGCTTTCTAGTTCTTTGCAGCAGAGACTACCTCTCTCTGTGCGTCTGTACAGTCTCAGGTTATTGCAGTGATGATAAGACTATCAAAGAATAACAGAAGTCAGTAGTTCCTGCAGTAATATGGCTTTGCATGAGTAGCTCCAATGAATAATCCCCAAAATGGTGCATACTATGAGCTGATCTGATACTTCCCGCCCCCCACCTTTTAGCTCTGTAAAGGACTGTTGGGCCCGTCAACACCCCTATTTTTTTAAGGTTGATAGAATTTAAAAGATTTATTACCTGATATGCATATTTAATGAGGCTGAAAGAGTTCATAAATGTAACATGAGCTTTGCCGGTATTTAAGGTTACCAATTAATTAATTATTCGTTGAAGATGTCAAACATTTGTAGATTTAAAAAGTTTATAACCTTCAATAAATTTTGCCGGGGCTTAATAAATTCCTTCAGATTTATACATCTTCTTAAACGTGCTCCATCTCAAACAAATTCAATAATGTATGTGGGTTTCAAAAAGAGAGAGAGAGAAAGAGAGAGGGAATTTATTAAGTCTTGATTTAATGGGAAATAGATGTATTAAATCACTTCAGCATTTTATTACGGTACTTGATTGATTTTTCAACAGTTTCTTCCAAAAGAGAAAGCTTGATCCGATGAGGAAATGGGACCTGAAGTGCTGGCTATAGGGACGCTGTTGACACAGTTTGTGTCATTGCCGTAACTGTGGTGTTGGCTTTCATTCCTTCATGCCTCACCGCCACGATTTCCTTCCTCTGGACCTTGTCCCATTGTCCTCACCCTGTCTTCACAGGGACATGGATGGGTGTGGAGGTGGCAGAAGGAGGCGCTCTGCTCTAGCTCTGCTTTGGTAATCTCTCTCCAGTTTCATAGCTAGGAATATAGGTTGACAGAGAAGCCTTCACACAAGACTGCCACTCGGGCCCCTGAAGACTTTTGACAAACTCAGACAACTTCAAAGGAAACAAGGATTAAGTCATTTTTGGAGCTGGGTGGGAATTTCAGGGGAGGTGGAGGCCGGCAAGGGAGGCAATCATAATGGGAAACAGGGCTATGACCTATTCAAGGTACAACTGCCATCCGGCACTGAGGTTTTCGTGACACCTTTTATTGGACCAACTGTATAATTGGGAGAGATGCTAGAGACCTAATGAAGGGCACTTTGTACCCGAAAGTTCACCCAACGTTTCTCCCAAGTATGCAGTTGGTCCAATAAAAGGTGACACCAAGAAAAAAGACCTGGCCTCTCATACATGTCCCAGACCATCATGGCCATAACAACACCTCAACTCTACTGCATTGGGTGCTGAGGAGTTCACAGGAACCCAGATTCATGTTGCGCTGGCCTGAAATAAAGCTCTGCAATTGGGTTCAGTGAACCAAGCGACGCTGGCTCAGGGACGTCACCATCTGAAACGCTGCAATGAAACATTTTGACATTTCTGAAGTTTTCCAAATTTTCTGTCCCTCCAAAGAAGTCAGCATCTCCCTCTTTCATCCCCACTCGAGATGAAGAAAACACCTGAGCAATCGGGAAGTCTTGCAGGACAAATGTTCCCACCTCCCCTCGGTCCTAGTCGTTTTATTCATCGGGGGGACGGTGTTTTCACAGCTCTCACCACTGGGTAACATCAGTACTTCTGATGTTAATTATAATCATAACTATAATTTGATTCATTATTTGTGTTATGTCAGTATCCGGATTCCTCCCCACCAAGTTCATGGTCTCACGGAACAAAGTACTGTCAACTCAGATAAGAAGAACTGATCCCTCCATCTTCCACGTGCTAGGAACCAACTGATAAGTAGAACACAGTGGAAAAACTGGGTGCTATTAATCCCCATTTTACAGATGAAGGAACTGAGGCCTGAAGAAATGAGTGACGTGTCCAAGGTCAAAGAATTCATTTCTCTTCAGTCCCCGTTCCATGCCCGTGTCACTAAAGCTGTTACTCCTCATCCAAAAGCCAGAAGTCTCCCCTCCAGCCCCAAAAGGAATATTTTTCCATTTGGAGATGGAGTTTCACTGGAATGAAAGTGCTTCATGGGCATATGGCAGCTATGACAACTTTTCAAAACTTTTAAGTATTTTGGACTCAAAATGGAAAATTCCCTTTTTGACTAACTCGTCCCATGTAGACTACTATTGCATAAGAGATTCATAGAGTCATAGACTGTGAGAGACCTTGGAAGATCATCAGGTCCAGGCCCCTGCACCAAGCAGGAAAGGTAACTGGGGGGTCCGGTGATCCCAGCGAGATGACCGTCCAGTCTCCTCTTGAAGATTTCCAGGGTAGGCGATTGCCCCACCTCTGGAGGGAGCTTCTTCCACAGTCTGGGCATCCTGAGGTCCATGTTATTATCCTAACATATTTTTCATTTATGGGACGCTATCTTGATATTAATGAAAAAAATATGCCTCAAAATGAAAAATTCTGCACAGCATCATTATCCACGTTATCACCAGACACCTGCAATTTTTTTTTTTAAATGCCAACCTTTCCCCCCAATTAGGGATGAAAATAAATTTCAAAACATTGGAGCTTCTTGCAAGATGGAAATACCATTTTTCTGCCCAGCCAAAGTACTTGCATATGCAGGTTGCTATCTGGGACTTGGTGTGTGTGCATAGGATGGCAGTGGGGTAAAGGAAGGAACGTGGCATATTCGCTAGGTGAAATCAGTGATCCCGCTGTGGAAAAAAAGACTGGGCTTTTCCTTAGCTTCCATGAAGATGTTGGAAGAATGCAAAAGAAAAGAAAAAGTGTAAAAAATAACCCTAGAGTTAAATAAAGAGTCTTTGCATTGGCTTGCTAGGTGAGCTATTGATTCACTAGCACATCTTGCAGCCTTCTCCATCAAGATCCCTCATCCTACTCCAAAAAAGGTCTCGGTTTTATACATTTTACACTCAAGAGCTCTCCCTAAATCCACCAATGCTGCTCTGCGAATTGGTGGAAAGGCCGCACCAATGTGCACGTCCGCTGTTCTGACACACCTGGGACTGGGAAGGAAATAAAGTCCCTCGCCCCACCTGCGGCCAAGGGGTCAGCATTGTCTTTTATCGGCTGATGCGGCCTCCCAGAGCAACCCAAATGTTGAGGAAAACAGTAGAGCAGAAAGTCCCAGCAGAAAACAATGGTGCAAAAAGGGTCAGGAGCTCCAAAGCCGACTCTTTTTCGGCTGCCATTGGAAATAATCCTCAAATGATGGGAGAAGGTGGGATTTGCAGGCAACAGTGATATTTAGCCCTGGCCCTACATGCAGGACAAAGGACTCTGACCAGCTAGCCGAGCACCCCACTAGGCAGGCAGGTCCTATTTGCACATCAGCTGAGGCAGAGAAGTTTATTCACTCAGCCAAAGCCACCAAGGGAACCACTGGCAGAACTGGGACAAGGACTTAGGAGCCAGGGCTCTTGGCCTGCTGATCTGAGACCCTGAAACACATCTCATCCTTACACAGAAGGCCAGCGGGTCTCTAGAAACAATGGAAGGGTGTTGACATGGTTGGGACCCACGTTTGCTCTTAAAAAAGGAAAATATTGGCTTAAACAATATAGAGGAAGCCATGTATGGGTGGAGGAAAAAGTTGCAGCCATGGTAATAGATGGATGTGGCTTCTTCATATCAAGGAGGATTTGTCCATACCAACACAGTCGGGTGAAAAACACCCAAATCATTCCCTAGAACATAAGGCGTCCAGGTAAGACAAGTACTGAACCCACGTTCGAGTGAACACAGCCCCAGTAGGTGGGTAGTGGCCTGCATTAGAAAGTCATCTACATGCTCTCTGCGAGGAAGGGAGGAAGAGAGCAATAAAGGAGACACACGCTTCTTGCCGAATGCAGAGTGCAAGTGCAAATTCAACAAGCACCTACAGCAAGGGAGTGTGCATGTGCAATAAGTCAGATTTGTGCTGGCATAGGGGTGGCCTTGGCCCAGATCCTGAGGACCTGAGAAGGCCAGAAGTCATAGACTCATAGGCATCTTGTCCA